TATTACATACTCTGCACCATTTGAATTTCATGCGAAATATATTTATCAGTGGTACAAAACTAAAGCTGACATTTTAAAAACAAAGATACTTTTTTCAGACCTTAATAAGCAATTTATATCGTGACCATTTCTCTATGTGATCTTTAATATACTTCTTAAGATACATATACACCGAAGAGCCATTATATTATGGCCACCCTGCTAATAACATGTGGGACCACCTTTAGCCCTCAAAACTGCTAGCACCCGCCGTGGCATTGATTCCGGAAGGTGCTGATAGGTATTCTGAGGTATGTGATACCAAGCGTTCACCAACTGGTCCTGCAATTCCCTCACATTGCGAGGGGGTAGTGTGGCAGCACGAATTTCGTTTTCCAAGTAGGACCACAAATGCTCTATTGAATTATGGTCAGGTGAATTTGGGGGCCAAGACATGACTTGAAAGTCACTGGAATGTTCTTCAAACCAATCCATGACGATTCGACCCTTATGACATGGTGCATTATCCTGTTGGTAAACACCATCCCCTGCAGGAAAAACTGTTGCCATNCTCAAAGATGCTGGGATTTTTTTGTGAACTAAAAAAGGGATGAAATTCATTCTCTCTCAAAATGTGAAAAGTTACATTCATTTTTTTTCTCATTTAGAAAGCTAGATTAAGAATTTAAATTTGAAATTTTTAAAGTTTTTTTTTAGATAATATTTTTTTTCAACTTTAAGGTGATATATCTCAAAACTTAACAAAATAAGTGAATGAAATTTGGGACTTATTTATGGTATCTAATTTTCTTTAAACTATTTTCAAGGAATTTCTTAAAACATTTTAAGTAAAAAGTAAAAAAAGTGGTAGTTTAGTTTTGAGCGTTTTATAAGCTATAATAGCAAATAAATAAAAATAACAAGTAAACATAACCAAAGCAACTTTTTTTCAAATTAGAATGAAAAGGAAAATTTTTAATATAAAAGCATAATACTTTTAATTAAACCAAATTTTAGAAACATTTTTTTCAAAAAATATGCAGGAAGCTTAAAAATGATTTAAAATGCTTCATTAAAAATTCGAAAATCTTTTTTCCTAAACATGTATTAAACATCCTCTCAAAATAATGAAATGAACTTTAAAAAAGCTTCCAAAACGTGCCATATCCTCATTATTGCGCACTTTTGTTCATAAAAGCATAAAATTCAAACATTATTATTTTAATTGCATTTAAATAATTTATTATAAATCAAATAATGTTAAATAAAAAATTAAAAAAAAGAATAAATACTTTGTGAAATTAAATGCTTGTTGAAAAACGGTTAGTTTTATGTAGTAACTGCCAAATTTTTTATCTATATTAAAGCTTTCATATAAAATAAAGAATCTTATTAAAATGAATTAAAATATAATAAATGTACTGTTCTAAAATCAAGGAATGGGTTTAGTAATTTCAGTTAAAAAAATTGATAGTACAATACAATTTATAGAATACCATTTTCAGTTTTACTCGTTCGAGTTTGTGATTCTTGCTGCATTGAATCTCGTGATGATAATTTAATTTGTAATTTCTTTCGAACAAATTATTGTACACTACCTGACTAACCATTTTTAGTTAGGGATGGTAAAAAAAAGAAAATAATCAAATCTTTACTGATAAATAACACCGCGAAATCATGCACATAACTCAGAGGCATACACCAACTCAATAAATAACGTTAAAGTAATTCTTTTTATTTATTTATTATTATTTGTTGCCCTTTTCGGTGGGTTTATCTAGTAAAATTAAGCAAAACATGTGTTTTTTAGTTCATCCCATCAAGATAGAGATTAACTGTATTCAGCATCATTTGACATGATGCTATTGCTCGAGGCCAACTCATGATGGACAAAATTTATCACTATCAAGTAATTTTATTCGATACATATCCCTTTCGAGGTGTTGTAAAAACATATTTCCTCAGTATCTGTATTAAAATTACTCAGTATTGGTGCAGTTTTAATAATTACCAACTATATCACATTAATACTATGCAACTATATTAGCATATTTGATACTTATTACATACTCTGCAACATTTGAATTTCGCGGGAATATATATTTATCAGTGGTGGAAAACCAAAGCTGAAATTTTAAAAGCAAATAGAATTCTTTTCAATAAACACAGTAGTTGTGAACTTTAATTCACAACTACTTATAAGTAGTTGTGAAATAAAGTCCTTTTAATTCTAATTTTTTTGTTTGTCAATTAATACTTCTTACAAAAATTAATTAAGCGTTGGCGTCAATAGTACTATGGAAATTTTTTACGATTCCACAAAATGAATAAGTATCTTTTCTCCATGAATTTTGCTTTTTAGCACATAGCTAATTTTCTTATTTCAATTAATACATATTACCAACATTAATTATGAATTATTGGCGTCAATTATAGTATGGCGAGTTTTTACGACGAATGAGTGAGTACAATTTCTCCTATAATTTCGCTATTTTGTACGCTATTTTGCGAGTTTATTTTTCGTTCCAATTACTACCTATTACCAAATTTAATTAATCGTCAATGACGTCAATGATATTTTGGTTATTCGTTACTTTTCTTTTAAACAAATAAGTACCACTTTTTCATTAATTATGCTATTCTGTACATAACTTTTTTTCGCTTCAATTACCATTAATTTTAAATTCTTATGTTTAATTGAAACACATTTTAAAATCATAACCATAAACAAAATAACCGCATGGTTTCAGATAACGTATTATCATGAACTATAATACTTATAAAAACGATCTACTCTGACGTCACCACGACGATTTCTTGACGTTTCGCCAAGCCCAATTGCATATAGCGCCCTCTAGCAAGATTTAACGGAACCAATAGTTGATTCAGTAGATGTAAAGAGTATCTAATGAGGCTTAGCGATTAAGGGTTAAAAACAAAAAAATAATCTTTTTTCTAAACTTTATTCTTAGTTTTTTTTTTTTTTCTAAATTAAAAAAAAAATAGTTCACTTGGATTCATTGAAGAAAAGCTGAGATTTGATTGTTTAAGTTTGCAAGATGCGTTTTAGTGTTAAATAACACACCAAATGAGAAAAATGAAATTAATATTTGCTGTTTTAGAATCAATAATGATATTTACTCTCGAAACAGCTATTGTCGTTTAATTCCTTAATATACACTCAGATAGTACCGTTACCAGATTGTAACCAAAGTACGACAGCCATGGGTACTCTTTTGTGAAGTCAATCTTGATACGTCGATGGTTAGTTCTCAAAAGGTTATTATATCCGCCTTTGGTGACGTCACATTTTGACGTCACCCAGACATGAACATGAGACCACAATAAGATATTTAGTTGTTGCGGTGATGTCAACGCGGTGACGAAGATGTGACCTATTCAAGTCTGTCTGTTATTTGAAATTCCAGGTGACTTATATGTGATATCATAAGATGATTATGATATCACACGATTATTGATTACGAATCTTACTTCTTGACTTTTTCAAAATTCAAAGAATTCAGAATAATTTCATTATCTAATTTGGTTACATATTTTATTTTTACTTTAAGATAATGTCTTGTGATTTAAGAATACAGTGAGTAAATTTAAAAAGCAGTGACAACAAAGAGATGATATTTGGGTAAAACCCAGCTATCGCTTATTGCCACAACTTCTATTATTTAGGCACTCTAGTTGTATACGGAACCACGAAACAACGTAAGAAGGACAAATTAAAAATTCAGTTGCATGCAACTTTTTTACTACTTTCGATACCCGCAATAATTAGTGTCAAAACTAAGGGGAATAAGTTCTCGACAGTGTCAACCTACATCTATCAAAAGGTACCACGTGATAGAATCAAGTTAACATGTCTTATATACTTGTGAATTGGTATTTAATATTTATAGTGGTAGTTACANGTTGCGGTGATGTCAACGCGGTGACGAAGATGTGACCTATTCAAGTCTGTCTGTTATTTGAAATTCCAGGAGACTTATATGTGATATCATAAGATGATTATGATATCACGTGATTATTGATTACGAATCTTACTTTTTGACTTTTTCAAAATTCAAAGAATTCAGAATAATTTCATTATCTAATTTGGTTTCATATTTTATTTTTAATTTAAGATAATGTCTTGTGATTTAAGAATACAGTGAGTAAATTTAAAAAGCAGTGACAGCAAAGCGATGATATTTGTTTAAAACCCAGCCATCGCTTATTGCCACAACTTCTATTATTTAGGCACTCTAGTTGTATATGGAAAAACGAAACAACGTACGAAGGACAAATTAAAAATTCAGTTGCACACAACTTTTTTACTACTTTCTATACCCACAATAATTAGTATCAAAACTAAGGGGTATTAGTTTTCGACAATGCCAACATTCATCTCTCAAAAGGTACCACGTGACACAACTTAACATGTCTTACAGTAAGGTACAACTTAACATGTCTTATATACTAGCGATTTGGTATTTAATATTTGTAGTGGTAGTTAGTTATGCCACATTACTCTCCTTCCAGAATTTTATCTGTGATAGAATTCGATGAACGGATACCACTAGTTGATTCATGCTTTTTTTTCTTTTTTGTGTGTCATATTTTTACTTCATAGCATTTCGCTCATTATTTTTTCCTTCATTTTTGTGATAACATCATTTCTGTTGTTGTTATTATTCTTAATTTTTGTTTGTTTATTTACTTCACCGTTTTTGTGAGCAGTTTATTTTTAAGCAAATCAACTGTTTAATGTGGATCATCCATCAATGTTGGCAAGTTCATATCACGTCCGGGTCACCAATGAGGAAGATTTAATTATCGACTATGTAATATTCATAGTGGTAGTTACGCCCCAAAACTAATTTTAAAAAAACACATCTTTTATGATGCTTATTGAAGATTGTATCAGCACTTAACTTTTTAACTTGTTCGTCGAAAATTCCCTCTTGGCTACATGAATCACAAGGATAAAAAAATTATCATACTCGTAGACAAAATACACAACACAAAAATCACAGCTGCAAATAACTTTAATGAGATACATTGTTGATATGGGGTGGTAAGCATAACAATACTGTTATTTTTAACACTACAGGATAAAAGAAGTGACAAAAACATTTGAGCATTAACTACAAATATGAACATAAAATGATAACATAAAAACACACGAGGCAGTTGGGTTCTGTGCGGAGCTGTTCACTTTTTCTTGATTTTTTTTTCATTATTTAATTTATGGTTCAAACATATTTTATTCATCTAACAAGTTTAGTGATCCCTTTGTAAAGAGTTAGTGAGATAGTTATTTACAATAATATAATTGCTGCATAATCTTGATACTTATTTACAATAATATAGTAAATGATTATTGTATTCATGTAATGAAATATTGCTGATGAAACAAGAGTAAATGTAGTCTGCTTCAATTTTAGACATAGGTTCTCAATTTAGTTTTAAAGTCATTAGAAATATTACCAACCTATCAGGCTGAACTAGATCATTTAAACTTTGGCAATTCATCAATTGATTGAATCTTCGGTTGCTAATAGTAATAATGTATTATCGACTTTTACTCGGCAACAAATTGATTAATATTGATCAATTGATGAATGATGATTATGTACATTCAAGTGATGCCATCTCAGATATTTATAGATAATTTTTCAGTTGTTATCTTTCATAAGATAAAAATAATTAGATGTATTTTGACAATTTTGGCAATTTAGTGAGTCGTTTACTATCTAATCCAGATTTTACACAAAAATATCTCAGCCAGGTACTTTAACTATCGTAAAAGTTTTTAATATTTAGTAAAAGATTGAAAGGAGCTGGGTTTTTTTTATCAGTATCGTTCAAAAAAATTTAAAAACATTTATTTTCGGAATTTAGGTTTCGAATCAAACTGGGTTTCAAGTTCAAAGCGTAGCTCGAAGTTTTGAAAGAAGTGTACAGAAATATTATCTATAATCTCATCAACGATCTGCTTTTATACATACATAATTTGATAATTGAGTACTAAAGGGGGTAGTAAATAATATTAAATTTTCTCATCGAGATTTTGGAACAGTGATTCTAGGAATCTTGATTCCTATTAATAGTTAGCTTATCATGTGATTGAGTAAGGCTTTTGCATGGCTACTCATAGCAACCATTAAATTAGTTAAGACAAAGAGCAATAATAATTCATTTTTTAACGAACTGATTTTTAATCTGTTTTGTATGAAGAATTCTACAATGAGAATTTTTATTCTGATTTTAATTAAACCATTACAATTTTTAAAAAAAAATATATAGCAAACTAAAAAGTAGATTTTAAAATTATTTTTCTATTTCACACTTTTTAATGGTATTAAATTAGTGCAATTTAAAATATGTATCAAACTGTTTGTCGTCAACAAAATTCTCCATACCATCTCTTCCATCTGGGATCACTAATGCATTGCTACAACAACGGTTGAAATGTGATTACGTCAAACTGGATAGTGATCAAGCAATAATAATAATAATAATAATGATAATAATAATAATAATAACAGTTTCTTTTCACACTAATAATGAGAGGGTAGTCCGGTGAGCAGAATGTTTAACTCCCTAAAAGTGATCTGTCTATCATTGAGAAGCACAACGCAATTAACTTTCCAACAAACGGTAAGTGACCAATCATGGAGTCGTATGTTACAGAATTATTGTGACTCAGTAGATGTCATATTCAGTCAGTGAAGAATAATCATCAATATTATGAAAGCACAAACAGTTTTTTTCGTTACTTTAGTTTATTTTGATTTGGTTCACTACCGTTCTTAATATTTAATCTTTCTCATCCAGAAAGAGTGCTAAGCAGTCCATGTTTTGCACTCATTTCTGTTAACGATATGCACATAATTTTGTTTTTTTATTTTGGAGATGAAAATACAGTTGTTGCGTAGATCATGTTGAGACATTTTTCTACGAACTTAAAGTTTTCTGACATTCTCCATTTTTTTCCTTCTTTAACTTAGTCTGTGGTAACAGATTCCACTGAATGGCACAGTACCGGCACCGGCCACAAGATGATTATGATGATGCTTGCACACGTTTTTTTTTTGTATCTACACAGACATCGGGCAATCTAAAAAGAAAAAGAAAACATTTTTACTTTTTTGGAGCAAATACACGAATATAATTCACTGAAACAATACATTATAGGACAGAAACATTAAAAAAAATTTTAACTTAAGAACGTTTGACGTTTTTTTTTTTTTTTTTTTNAGAACGTTTGACGTTGTTTTTTTTTTTTTAAGTTTCAAACTTTGCCAACTTTTTAATTTAAGTTTTGAATGTAACTGAAATAGAAGTCAATAGTAAATATGGCAAGTGAAGAAAGATTCGAACTCAGTTTTGATGGATTGAGCCAGCATACGATCATACTGATTGCAATGTCGTATTTGCAATTAGAGATATCCCGAACTCAAGATTTGTCACGTTTAATGTGGAATTTTTTTAATGTATTTAATGGGGAGCTGTGGTGGCTCAGGGGATAGAGCATTCACCTTCCATTGAGGTGACCCGGGTTCGAATCCCAGCGATAGCAGGTAGATACGAATTCCGCATACGGCTTACACCGACAACAGTGCTGACGTAGAAATATCCTCAGTGGTAGAAGGATCATGGGTTAGAGTCCCCTTGTCGTCAGACAAAGTGTGGAAGTTTTTCATGGTTTCCCTTTCCATGTAATGCAAATGCGGGTTTGTTCCATCAAAAAGTCCTACACGAAGGCAAATTTCTCCCAATAGTTAACCTAGTACTTCCCTTGTGTTCTGGATCGGTTTAAAAATTACAAGGCTACGAAGTAAAACACCAGTAGTTGTAAGCCCAAAATTTGGTCTATTGTTCAATGACTGTTATAAAATAAAATAAAATATATATTTGTAAGATAGTCAAAATACCTTTGGTAGCTAAATAAAAAAAAATCAAAGTTTAAAATAAAAATAAATAAATACATTGCTAAATTAAGTTTGATAGTACTTCGGAAACTTAATAAGGAGTTTAAACTGGAAATACACTATGAAACAATCGAGACTGTCTCATCTTAATTTGTAAAATAGCTAGTCATGAGAGTTGGAAGAAACTTCATCGTAGTTTGCTTTTGAAACATGGTTCAACAATAAGTCTTACGTTTGTTTCAATATAATTTATAATAAAAGGGATAAAACGTTTGTCGTCAGCTTGATAATATTTCGAAAGCTGAAAGTACAATACTTAAAAGTATATGTTGTGGTCATCTACGTGAAATACTTACCAAAGCATAGTTATTAAAATATCATACTTAAAAGTCAGTGATAGGTTATCTGCTTGGTATTTACCCCAAATATTAGTTGGTAAAGTAAACAATTATCTGCTAATAATCTGAATCCAGTATAGTATCCAGTATAATCTGAAAACAATTATCTGCTGCTGTACTTAGAAAATTTAAATTATTCATCAAAAAATTGCGTGCAGCTAAATATTATTAATTTAAAATAATTATAAAAAAAAGAAGTTTTTTTTCTTTGAGAGAGACAGAGAGTGAGAGCTCGTTTATTTGATGGTATTTTTTTTATCGTAGAAAATTCCAAACCCGCTTATTGCTGTATCAAAAAAAAAAAAATCCTTATACCCATGTTTGGAGAGAATAGCTTATGAGCATGCTTATAAAGAGATCTCTTATGAGCATGCAGCGATGCCAACTTGCTCTGGACAGCGAAAAAATATTTTCGAGTGGTAGTTTATTAATTGTGATTCTTGGTTTAATAAGTTCAATTTATCAGATTTTTATCCACCACTATTTCTAAATAATTTGTAGACTTATATATTCACTACTTTATTATAGCAATGTCATTTTAAACCTTTTAAAAAGTAAGCAAAATTAGTCAAATACTTGCAAATTTTAGTTTATAGTTATTTACCGTTTTCTAAATTATTTTGGCGTGTCCGGAGCAGTTGGCATCTCTGAGCATGCGTAGAAAGAAATCGCTTATGAGTAGTATGTTTCGAAAAAAAAATCGCTTTTTAGCATGCTTTAGAAAGAAGTCACTAATGAGCATGTTAAGAAAGAAATTGCTCATGAGGTTCAAAAAGAAATCTTTTATGAGCATATTTAGAAAGAAATATCTTATGAGCATGTTTAGAAAGAAATCAACGTTGGATGATCTACAGAAAATAATACCTATTATATTTAATCACTATAAATTAAAAAGAAATAGTCATTTTAAAAATATACAGAAAACTATCCAATATATTATAATATCTTTATATTTAATTTATTCTAATACATATCTCATGAATAATCTATCTGAATTAATTTCATAAATATCTTGTAATATTTTTTTATGCTATTGAAATTTTAAAAATTAATGTACCAAAAAGAAACTCCAAATAAATATATTGTGTCCCCACTTTTTTATTCCTCTTCAACCCCCCTTTTCCAGCCTAATTTTAGTACAACACAAACAGAATAATTTGCATTTCATTTTCATCCAATAAAAGCCAAGTCAAGTAGAAATATAATTAAATTATTTTTAAAAGGTCCACTGCTTCGTTAAGAAATAAACTTTCGAGCTTCCCTTAACGATGCTTTTAAACATATGCATCCAATTACAAGTCTGCAAAATTCGATTAAATTAGATGACTTATCCGAAGATACGATTCCATTAAATTATAATCATATATCAGAAATTGTCAATCAACATAGGGTTCTTCAAGAAGATATATTTTTACCTCATTCCTTTTCTTGAAATATGTGAGTTGAAGGGGAGAAGGAACTTTTTAGTTTTCCGGATTCCTTTGGGAAAATTGTTTTCCCGGAAAGGCAAGGATGTTATTAGGAAAATGCCTGAACTAGTCATCTAGTTTCTGTTAATATTATTTAATTTTGAAGAGAAGGCTGCGGTATGGCGCTATGAAAGGATATTTTCGTCAAGAGAGGGAAAATTTTTAAGACTTAAGAGTTTTAGAAAGAGTAAGTCATAAGACTTATGAATTTGATTGCCGATGAATAATGTATGAAAATTTAAAGCTTAACTGGATTCTAGAAAAATTCAAGTCATTAATTCGGCGGAGTTTAAAGAATTTCGGTAAAGCCCAGTTCTATATTTGTAAGTTAATATATTTTTGGAGGAATAATTTTAAAGCAAAATTTTATTTTTATAGAAATTTTTGTTTTAACTATTACTTAATCATTTTCGCTTGTTGAATATTAGAAATATAATTTTCTAAAAGAGGAAAATCATTTTTTTTAAAGAAAATAAAACGAAGTTTAGAACGTAAAGTAATAATTAGAAATATTCAGCTGCTCTGAATCAATCAACAATCCTTATTATCAGTTGAGAGACGACTAGTAATTTCGAAAAGAGAAATTCTAGGTTAAAAACATCGTTACGAGTTTATTTTTGCGGAGAATGACAGAAAAGTAGAGTAATTTTTTTAACATTTAAAAAAAATTAGATTATAAAAGATTTTCATTTTCAAAAAACGGTGACTTTTCTTAATTTTGTCATTTTGACATTCATAATCAGCAAAAGAGAGCTGATTAAAAATGAAAAATAAACTAATAGTTATGAATAACAGTTAAAAACATTCAACTGCTACAAACTTATTTCGTATGACAATGGAACATTTTCGCGAGAAATATTTTCAACGCAAGAAATATTTTCGAACTTGATTATTTATTTTAAATTCCTACTAGTACCAGTACTAAAAGTGCCGGTACTATTTACCGTAAATTCCATTTTTTTCCGAAAATTGAATTTTTTCCATGTTACGGAAAAAATCTGATATACCGTAATTTAAACAGTAATAATTATCATAAAATCACTGAAACACTCTAATTAAATAATTATTGCGATAAAAATTACAGTATAATATTTTACGGTAAAAATGGATTTTACAGATGATGCACCCAAATCGCCTGTACTTTATACCGTAATTTGATCCAAAATTTGTTATTGTGTCAAAACTATTTACAGTGTAAAAACTATCCGAAAATTTTACAGTGTATTAAGTTAGAATGGTTTATACTAATCAAAGTTGTCATATTTAATATTGCCATCATAAATTAAATTACTCTGATGAATCATAATGCATTGTTGTTTAAAGATCAGTAAAGACATAATTATTAAATCAATGATTTTTTCTTTATTGGATCACGAAAAGTGTGATCATTAATAAAAGTGTTTACATCAAGTTTTATTACTTATTAAGCGTCAGGACATAGCGTTGGAACAAGATTACATTTTTAACAGCTACAATTCTATTTCAATCAATTTTCAAATATAGCCATGTCTTTAAAATATATGTCAGGATATGATATGAGCTATAAAAGAGCTATTTCAAAAACGTTAGCTTTTAAACATAGAAAAGTATCCATAGAAAAAGCCTGTAAATCAAGTAAATGCGATGCACATAGAATAGCCCGTGAATCGCTTTCAACAAGAAGGCATGCATGAATAATAGCCTTTTCCGAAAGAGGCGGTATACCTCATTCCCCTAGTGTGTTTTTTTATACATTTTTTTTTCAAAAAAAAGGGGCATACATAAATCGAACGAAACAGGCAAAAACCTTATGTAAACATGAAACATCAAACTTTTCCTGTGTGCCCAAAACTGACATCAACTTCTTTGACATCTCTTTTTTCTGTTGCCATTCACGAAAAGGAAGAACATATATTTTTTATTTAGTCCTTAGATAGGGAAGCACCTCGTACATGTTTGCGCCTATAGCAAGAAAGAATAATAAAAACTGAAAAAACTCACACCGTTTTTGACTCTGATCGCGGCATATATTTATATTGCGTAAAATTGTATGGTGTGATACTGGCTATGGATGTCCATGGTTTTATGTATCCGATAGGAACGGAGAAAAATAGCTTTACATGTATTAAAAAAAGGGGGGGATGAATCAAAACGCTACCTTGCATGTCTTAAAGAGATTTCCTTAAACTTTTTTTTTAGATTCCCTTTGCTCCTTACTGCCCAAAGCAAAGTTTTGAAGAAAAAAAACTAAATAAAAGGTAAAGGTTCGCCTTTTTCAAACGGTGTACCATTGTGGTCCGCCGGAAGTACCCAAAGGGTTCACAGGAAGTAAGAACTTAT